CATTTTTATCAATTACTTGCGAGTGACAACATGAATAAGAATAGTTTCCCTGTTGCTGCTTCGATTGGAAGTATAATTAGGCATCATGAACATACCAGCAACAATTAAAGACGTGCAGCATGTTGCTAGTCAGACTAATTGCATAATCAAGGTCATTAGGTTTGTGTGCAGAGACACAGCTACCGAAAATCACCTCGTTCTTAAAATGCTCACCTCCACTCCCAAATTTAAACCTGGTACAAGGAGTTTTCACTGGTTATGTAACAGTCTCAATTTAGTACTAATGCCTCTAATATGACCTACGCACCTTACATCAGTGAGAAAATTGGCTATTTCTATATAATTATTCCTAATCCCTGTCACTGGTTAGATTCCCCTTGAAATCAATGAAATGAGACACTACCGCTTCTGTCCAGAGGGGCTGCCAGAATCAAGAAAAGAAAAGTTTCTTGTTGCCTGTCATCCATAGTGTTGTCTGTATTTACTCAGTTGTTTAATATGTGAAGACAAAAAATAAAAACAGTCTAAAAAATAGTTTGGTCTGCGGTATGTAGTCATTATAGTCATTTCAGTAGAGTCAGTTCAAAGTTATGTTCACAGCTTAAAGGAAGGATTTGGGTAGAACTTGTTGAACGTTTCAAGTCAACAAGTCTAAACCAGTTCTTGCTGTTAGATTATAGATTTTGCCTGGTGAGTACAAAGTAAGAGACATGCCTTAAATCTCCTGATATCACTCCACCTAACAAGAAAATCATATGTTACACTACAGTATCCACTGCTACACAGCTACAACAAAACAACTATACGTCGAGTTCACAGCCACGCTGAATTTCCACTGAATCACCCTGCTTTACATTATGTCTCACTGCACATTTTCTCACAGCCTCTATCTTTTATCTTAATGCTCTTTGTCTCATGATTTCTTGCAATCAGCTTCTTGTGTCTGATATGTGACGTTCAAGGCTATGTGACTGTCCCTGCCTGTCTGTGCCGCTGTGTGTGTGTGTGTGTGTGTGTGTCAGTACTTCTGTCTGCATGTGACTGTTTCTCAAGGGAACATTTGTCTGGAAAAATGTTATGGTTATAGCACTGCATCCTTCATGATTATGTGCATGTAAAGAGGAACAAATATGTCTCATTTACTTACATTCACTTAATTCTATTCATGTTAATGAATATGTTGTCAGCAGCCACAGGGACGCCTTTGTGACACTGGAGGACAACAGGAAGAGAGTGGTTCAGTCCCAAACAAATGTTCAGTTGATTCGAGTTATACCCGGCTCAGTTAAGGCCATTCAAATCATTTCATTTTATGAGGATCAGTAGAGCACAAACAGTGCAAGATGAGGCAAGTATAAATTCAGACTTAGCGTAAATTTGACGATTTTGTCGTTTTCCTTTCACATTTCCTTTAACATCATCCAAGGATTTATCGTTTCGATCACACCTTGTTCTTCTGCTAGTATCAGGAGTCCAACTTGTGTCCAAACCCAAGGCTGGTTAGTCGCCTGGCCAGGAGAATTCAGAACAAATAAATCAAAACAAATCCGCTCAAGTGTTTCTATGCCAGCGAAGCCTTAACGAGGGGTGACTCACAGCATGTACCTCGTTTTACCTTCAAGCAGAATAAGTTGATTATTCTGTTCTGTCGGAGTCTGCTCCTGTGACATTATGGCTGTGTGCCTCAGAACAAGGCGTTTGTGTAAACGTGTACACTCAAAGGTTAGATAAACCATGCGCACAATTAGTACTGAAACAGTTCATTAATTAGTTGATCAATTTATCGTTTATGTAATTCATTGAACATACCAAAGTGTTGCTGGTTCTCAAATGTTGCTGCTTTTCTCTGTTTTATATCATTGTTGAAAACGTTTAGGTTTAGGTCTAAACAATATAAAAGGGTTGCGTTGGCCCTGGGGAATTTTGATGGACTTCTTTCACTATATTTCATTATTTTCCTTTAAACAATTAATTGCGTAATTGAAAAATCTATTTGTTGTAGCCCTGTATCAAATTCTGATGCTCTTATCTGCTTTTAAATGCAAAGTCTGTACGGAGGTTGAATCCTAATTTTCATATCTCCATGCTGTTTGCTGTGTTCCCGTAGAACTGACCATGACACAGAGTCTGTGTCCATGAACCCAAAGCTCCACAGGCGTTCACACAAATCCTATTGGTCTGCCATCGGCATAGCAGCATATAGGCAGAGTGAGAGAGTGTGTAAGCGAGCTGCGAGCGGGGAGGGGAGGGGCTTCTAGACTCCACAACAACGTTGGCGCGAGTGAGGCTGTAGAGGGGAGAGAGAATGCGGCAGAAGGAGGGAGCAGACCGTCAGTGGCTGACTCTGGGAGAGAGGGAAACAGACGGATTCTCACTTCTTTTTTCTGGCTTTTCCCTGCTTCCTTTCCTTCAGTTTGTTTAGTCTTTTTTATATCTCTGCACTCATTTCTCTCTGTCCTTCTGTCATTCCTGCCACTGATTCTGTCTCTCCCTGCAGTCTCTATTCCTCTGTCCTACATCCCGACTTGCTACTATCTGTTCTCCTCTTCCTCACCCATGGCTACCTGACAGTAAGCTTCTCCTTCTGCCATCTCTCTTCCTTTTTCACCACCATCCTTCTTTCTCTTCCTTCCCTCAGACTCAACCCTGTGTTTACTTTGATCTTTCCTTTCCTTGCACCTGTTCGTCATCCATCTGTTTTCTTTCGGTGTGAGGATGCCAGTTCTGGAGGGGCTTTGGGGCCAAGATCTCAGGATGCGGGACTCTGGTCTTGGTGTTGGGGTCGAAGTTGGGGTCTGTCCAGATGAGGCCCCCCGCTCGCCAGTCTGGGGGCCTCTCAGGATGCCTCCGGTGACCTGCGGGGGCCTGTCGCTGGCCCTGGAACTTCCAGCTCTCATACGACAGCTCAGGGCAGCCTGGAGGGCTCGCAGGGGCGGCCCCCTGGGGCCTGAGAGAAGTCGGGCAAGCCCTTGGGTAGAAGAAGAGAAGGATGAGGTAGAGGAGGTGAAGCATGACATAGAGGACAGGAGCGCTCATCTGGAAGGTAACTTACACATAATACATGTTACAAGTACAATAAAGCCTATACATGTAATTAATGTCTGGTGTTTGACTGTGTATGCTACACATTCATGGTAGAAAGCAGATTGTAATTATTTGTGTATAATTTATTTATCTCTTTAAAATAGTGGTCATGTTTTTTGGCACAGATCATGAATATCAGGAATGAAGGGTTTCTGGCCTTGTCTTCGTATGTATGTGTGATCTTATGCATCAGTTATTGTATTTGAATGTTCAACCATGCCTGGGTGTACATTTTAATTTTAGAAAAGTGTTTGTTTGTGACAGATAATCTTTGATAAGCATGCCTCTGGCCATATGTTTAACGTGTGTGTGTGTGTTTGTATGTGTTGCGGGTGGAGATAAGGTTCACAGCAGTTTAGACCTTGGCAGAGCAGACAGTGAAATGAGGGATTTGGGCTGTAAAGCCCAAGAGTATCCATTAAATAAGCTGTGTTACCATCTGCTGAGCGCAGCTGTACTGATGACACTGACGTGACACCATCAGTCGATCCTCGGCCCGTCTGTTTGGAGTGTAACACAAGACCTGATGATCTAATCTTAAGCTCTGTGCTGCATACATTGATATAATTTTGTTCTTAATGTCAGATATAGGGCTTAAGGACTTCATGATAGACACAAGGACTGAAGCTGTGAAATGTTTTTTGACAATAGTGATCTCATGTGCGCATTTATTCATCTAGTGAAATGAGTATGATGCAGTGACGACTTGACTGATACTGGCATATACACTTGCATAATGAATACATAAAAAAATAAAAAGTTGATAACAAAAATTGAACTTAGCACATATAAATGTTTAATGTGTTTTTAAAAAGTTATGATGAAGTGATGATTCACACTGCGGGGAATTACCTGCGCACAAGCACTGACTCATAGGGTGGAAAATGGACAAATGTACGCTGTTCACTGCCTGTGACTTTCCCTTTGCACCGCGATGACCTCATTCATTTGACAAGGGCTATAGGCTATCTGCCCAATATTTGATTTCACCACATACAACATATGTCAAGACACTGTGAAATAGCTTGTTGGTGGTGATAGTGAGTCATCCTGATATTTACCATAATAAGTACTGAACAGGGCTGAAAAAGATCCGTATTTATAGTATAAACAGACTGAGTTTCAGAGTTCAGCATTTTACCACAGGCCTAAAACACTTTATTAAATCTTCAATTTTATTAAAGTGCTAAAAATTCTCCTTTGTAATAGCAAAACATTGACAGAGAGGTCTTACACTAGATTTTAGTTTTGTACTTGTTTGCCTTTATACAGGTGGGATAATCTAAAATAAACCTTTAAAAGAAGACAATTAATCATCCTTAATTCTTTTTAAAGAAAATATGCCAAAAATGAACTTTTTCAAATGTGACCTTCAGCTGGTTTTCTTAATTTCAAGTGATATTAAACAGAATATCTTGGCTGAATTTGGTACTATCACAAATCCAAAACATGGGTTTTCAGATCTGAGTCTCTGAACAATGCATCAAACTAACATATATGGCTTCTTCTAATGCCACCTATGTTTTATGCACCTGGCGGCTATCACTGTTAAATCACTAGGTAAAGAAAAGTCCCGCCACTGCCAGGGAGTGTACTGTATCTGGACACACTTTATGTATCTATGTATCAAGATGGAGAAGTCACAACTGCAGTCAGCAGGAAACATCCTCTGTCACTGTGTGTTTAAAACTGTTTGTATTTAAGTGTTGGTGTTGGCCATGTGTCTGACTAACTAACAGCCCCAAAGCACAATTTGTGCCGTAAACACCCACAGATTCAAGCGAAGCCAAGTGAACATATTCATATCAGTGCCCCTTGTGTGACTGTGTGTGTGTGTGTGGGTGATCATGTTTTCGCATTTGGAATCAGGGATTTAACCTCATTTGCAAGTGTGTGTGTGTGTGTGTGTGTGCATATGTGCAGTGAGTGTTTGAACGAGGCGCGTGTGCATTGTCGCGTCTTTAAACACCCTTTCCAACTGATTCACGTTTTCATCCTAAATGACCCAGTTCTGCGCCGCACGGAGACAATGACCTATTTACCACAGAGAGAGTTAAAGGAAGAGAAAGGGAAAAGAGGAGAGGGGCGGGGTGCGACTAAAGGATGGATCAGATGGGGAAGAGGGGGTGTTGTTGTTGAACAGGAAGGAATGAAGGATGATAGGAAGGTTGAGGGGGCAGTAACGGAGAGCGATAAGAAGAGACATGAGTAGAGGAGGAATGAAGGAGGGAGTGACATAAAATAGAAGTATGGAGAGATAGCTCAAGTGCAGGAAGAGGGTGGTGAGTGGTTGTCTGTGTTGGAGGAGGGTTACTGCGGTGGTTTTTTTCTAGATGATGTATTTCCTCCTCTCCTTGCCCACCAGCACGCTAGATAAAAAAAGCAAAGAGGCTTTCCCCCTTTTTTCCCGTTCTTGCTCAAACTAGGCCAGCAGGACTCCTCTGCCTCCCTTTAACAGGCTGAGTCACTTCCCCCACGCGGGTTATATTTGTTTGTTGGACTGTAAGATGCATAAATAGGGAATGATGCCACTTTTCCACAGTATGTTTTATGTATATCTACCTAGCACAACACACGCACACAAACACAAGGCAAGATCTTGCAACCCGGGGGGGGGCACAGTGAGCCCGACCCCATTAACAGGTAGTTTAGCTGCTCTCGTAAGCGCAAGTCACAGAGGTGATGTGAATTTGCAACCTCTGGGACATAATACGCTCCAGTTCCTCACATCTGACCCTTAAATTATTCAGTATTCCCATAGTTTTTGGTTTATTCAAGTGTAAATTGCTTGTGTGTGCATGTGCACTGTGACTTAGTTCTGTTGTGTCTTGTTGTCACTGGCCTCAGGGTTTGTGTGGATTGCACATTTTAAACAGAGGCAGTATTCGGTATTCAAGGATCCATGCTGTGCTGCCTTCCTCCATCTGATAGGTGCTCACACAGCAAGGATTGAAACTCAAAAGATTACCCCTGGGACTCTGCAGACATGGAAAGAATTTATATTAAGCATGTCAGACATACATGGGCACTTCAAACAAATGAGTATGACACGCTTCCTTTTTCTTTGCAAGAACACATTTGCCAGCTGTTTAAATGGTGGATATCAAGTTATAGAATGAAACCTTTGTTTTGTAGCAGACGTCCACTCCTGTTTGGTCCTCGGTTACGAAACACTACAGTAAAAACACGAAAAATATATCTGATAAGAACGTATGCTTATGTCAATGCAGCACCAGTCTGATGTTCAGACATCCTCCATAACAGCTGCACTGTGGCATGAAATCCATTCTCCGTGGGCAAACTCGGACCAGATGCATGACGTCTTGGTGATTTAGCGATGTCAAAGATCCTCTTGTTTCACAGAGGCAGATTTAGGAACAACTTAAAATCTGTTTTTATGAGGCCGATTGTGTTGAACATCACTGGTGGGACATGTACAGCACTGGGGAACACTTTGCTCCGTTGTCCTCTCATCACCCCTCTGGCTGCTGGACTCGTCATTCAGCCATCAACCTTTTGCTTGCTGTCTTCCTGTCTTTCCCTCTCCCCTAGTATGAACACTCTCCCCTTCCCCCTGGAAAGATTGATTCAGGCCCCTTGGGGGCATGTCTGCCAAAAAATGGCCACAACAGGACATTAGTAATAACACCAAAAATGTATATTTATTATTTATTCTCTTTTTTCCATCCTCTCCTTTTCCTCTTTCTATCTCTGTCCGTGTGCAGCTGATGGCAGACTGAACACTGGTCATGCTGGTGTGTTGCTGGTTGAGAGACGAGGCTCCTACCCACTGATTGACCTGCGCATCCTCAAAAGTGAGTCTCCAGACACATTTAAATACAAAACAGTATACGCTGGCTATGTCAGCAATCCACTAACACAACTCTCCTCTATTCGTTTATTCTCCTACAAAGTAACTGTTTAGTCAGCAAAAACAGCTACCCATAGCAAAAGAGCAAATAGCAATCCCATTCAAACTTTTACGTGTTTGAGAGAGGTGTTTTGTAAGCCCACCATTGCTGTTGTAAATGGGTGGACAAAATAATAGCAACCCCTGTCAGTACAGTGTAATACAATTCAACAGCCCCTGAAACTGCAGCCTCCAAAATGACCATTAAGTTGAATCAACACCTCTGTGAAACAATTGCAACAAAAGCTGAATGTTCTAACCTTCATGAAGGTAGGATTATCGCAGGACTGTTGTATTAGACTGTTTTAGCTAGGTGTACCTAATAAACTGGCAACTGAGTGTAAATAGATAAATATCAGTTGCTCCAGTGCTGGTGCTTTTTTGATTTTAACATAAAGGGAGGCTGTGAAGTATAAAGAAACATTCCCTTTTTATCTAATTTACTGAAAGCTTATATAATGACACATTTTGTATAATATTTATTGCAAATTAATTTTGTTGATGTGGCTAATAATGTGTGTTGTAGATAAATCAGCATTTGTTTGTACACTGCATCCAACATGTCATGAACTTCTTTGTGAACTTCCTCTGTGTTTTGATAATTATTTCCAGTGGTAGACCTTAATGAAATATGGGATACACTCGTCAGAATCAGAGTCATTGAGCATTAAATTCAGGTTAAAAAGCGTAACACACATCCGTCTACTTACCTGATGGAGCATGATCTTGCAATTATGTGATCAAGACCAGAAATCTTAGTCCTGGGACAGAGCCACATGCAATTCAGGAAATATTAAAATAGTTTTTAAGACGCTTATCTGTGACTCCCGCACTACTCTGCAGGGTTTCTTAAAGAACATTATTTGACATTGTAATTTCAGCCAGTGCCCAGCAGGGGGAAGTAGAGTCCGGCACCAGGAGAAAGATTAAGCGTCTGCTGAGCTTTCAGAGATACTGCCACGCGTCCAGGCTGCTCAGGGGGTTGGTGCCCCACACCCCCGGGTCACTACACCTACTAGACGACGACTACCTGGGACAAGCTGCGGTAAGAACTCTCACAAGCCAACAAATGTGGAGAGGCACAGGCACACAGTGTCTCCAGCTCTCTGTGTTGTGTATGCATCAGCTGTGAACCATAGATCGCTTCTGAAAACACTCTGTCTTTTGTTACAGCACATGCTATCAAAAGTAGGCACATGGAACTTTGACATTTTCCTCTTCGATCGTCTTACAAATGGTAAGACAGCCTTTTGTTATTTTGTTATTAAAAATTGACTAATGTTGTTGTCCCTCACCTACCATATATCTTTACCAATTTAACTATTGTTTGTTATCATATGATGAAATTGTTGATTTCTCTTTGTTATCGTTTCATTTTCAAAAGATTTTAAAGGACCAGTATGTAGGATTTAGTGGCTTTTAGTATTGAGGTTGCGCTCGTTTCTATATCTATCTTAACTCACCCCTCCCATGGTGGCCTTCAGGTAACCTAAAAAGGCAAAAAGCAGTGTTTGGTTCTGGGCTACTATAGAAACCATAGACTGTATTGTTAAAAACACATGTAGTCTCGGTAATGTCACCAATAGGTTTTTGAAGCACTGCTGTGAAGCGTTGTGTGCTGAAAAATGTGATTCTCACACAGTTGACTTACTGCACTAAAAAAAATTCTTGAATGGATTTGTGTGCTGTAGGTAACAGTCTGGTGACTCTGATGTGCCATCTCTTCAATGTGTACGGTCTCATTCAGCACTTCCAGCTGGATATGGTCAAGCTGCACAGGTTTCTCGGTAAGCTGCAAGGAAGAGACTGCCCCACTTTGTTCTCCAGCAAGAAGAATTTGCTTAAATCTTTTAAACCGTAAACCGTATACAACCTTTTTTAGACAACCTCTGTTGTTAGCATAATTTGTGAATTGAATCCAGTAGTTGATGTTCATTGCCTTTAAACTGAAAAATGACATTTACATGCACACATATTCTTTTAAACATTTAAATAGGAGTTAGGACTACTGGTGTATTTACACACAGCATTTTCCCCCAATTGTCACCACTACATAAAAAGCATTTGCTCTGTGAAACGTGCACCCGGCGGCCTTTTTGGCGGGGCAGCATGCTCTCGAAAGCTGAGAAGGGTTTAACTTTTCAGGAAAGCCCAGACTGACGTCAACTGGTTCAGTCATCACAAAAGGGACACAGGGTTTATGTTCCCTGCTATAAAAACAAATATGGATAAAGTGACCATGTGGACTTTGTTGTACTGTAAGTGAATATTAATCCAGTATCCATAGCGTGCTAAATAATACAGCAGAACAATAATGAGCTGTGTGTTGTTAGCTCTGTGCCGGCAATAGCCATGGCTGGAGGCGTTATGTTTTTGAGTCGTCTGTACGTCTGTCTCAAGCTCTAAATTGTCATTTGCCTCTTGTTTACAACAATTATCTCAATGTTTTTTTCTCTTCAAACCTGCTCCCATTAAAGCTAAGCATTCAGCTCCTCAACCCTTTCTTTCTGGCTGAAAGATTGTAACCATACACTCCCTCACTTTCTGCCTCAATCTGAATTTTGAGCACAATTGGAATAATGTGACTGCAGTGTATTGTAGTGTTCCTAGCTAATAGTGATCTTATGAGTGAGTGAGCGAGTTTCACCTACAGCTCATAAAGAGGCTTTGCATCTAAAAATTCCAGGAGAAAACAAAAGCACCACATTTTGTATAGTTATACTCTATATAAGAATCCTTTTTTTGCATAGTAATAAAGTAGTACCAAGTGTACCTGTTTAACTAATACATCAATATAGTGGTAACAAATGTACTTTATACCTCTTATATAACTCCTTCAAAGTCTTCACCACATATATTATACCAGTCTGGACATAGATGTAAACTGCAACTTGCACGGCGGTAGTTTTAGTTTAGTCCTTTACTATGTGCTTTTTCCACACACAAAGTACGAGGTGTAAAGACAACCTACAGTAACATGATTATTCTCTACTTCTCATTGGACAGTGGTAAACGAGAGCTAATAATGTTAAATTGGTTGAAACGTAAACTTTAAAACGATCAATTGATTATAAATGTTTATGTTGCATTATCACCTAGGTACATTATTGTGGCTTCAGTTTGTTTACTAGGCCTTTTGCAGTTATTGGTCAACATATGCAATTTGAAGACATTTTAAACGCCTCTGGGGGAATAAAAACAGGAAAACCCCTGCTGTGTAAACTGGATTATGCTTATTGCACATAAGACTCTGCTCTGATAATCAAATGAAGACATGACAGATTCAGCAGTGTTGCAAAAATTACATTAAGATCAGATAAAACATGTGAAAGCTGAGATTGCTTAATAGGGTTTAACCTTGTTCCCTGTCTCGCCAGGCATGGTGCAAGAGGACTACCACTCCCAGAATCCTTATCACAATGCTGTTCACGCTGCCGATGTCACTCAAGCCATGTACTGCTACCTGAAGGAGCCCAAGGTAATAAATAATACTGGATTCACATACACACCCTCCCTGCCTCTCTCCCTCTCTCTCGCACACACACACACACACACTAACTATACGGCTTCTCCTTGACATGTCCTATTAGTGTGTCTTCCTGAAGGATAATTCCTGCTCACTTAGACTCGACAACACTTCCATCCACAGCCTGGAGAAATCCCCAAAGCCCTCTGACCAGATTAAGTGTCTCTGCATCTTTTCCCTTTATTCAGTAATTGCTTTTGTTCCCACTGTTGCTCTGTAAAGCACTTTGTGATGCACCTATTTTGTTAAAAGCACTTACGCAAATAAATCGAATTCAACACAGCACACATGCGGGTGTGTTCTAAATAACACACACTCACAGTATGAGATATCAAGCCAGCTGCTTATCTGATCAATATACCACTTTGTCCTTTACTGACCTTTAAGCATTTATCTTCACCCTGTGACTCACACCTAGCTCTGTTATTAATTAAAATACATACTTTTGAGGCGCATTTGAGAATGGAGGCACCGTTTGAGGTCAAATAATTTAATTTCAGAGGAAATCTAATTATTTTACCAATTTGTTATGTATTTGGTATTTATAAAATTATCCAAAATGTGTTCTCTGCTGTACTGAAATTAAAAAAGGGATCTAAATAGAAGATCAAAACAGTCAGAACCTTCCTTAATCCTAATGTACAGTGTAGTTCGTAAGTATTAGGACAGATGTTTTATTTCTTTATATATAATCAGCTCAACACTCCAAAACAAATTTGAGGACTTTAAAGTCCTCATCTGATGATCTCTCTAGAAATTGTAGCTGTTTTTATCTAGTATATCCCTCCAAGGATTAAAAGAGTCCTACACTGTTCACCAATACGGATGCAAACACCCACAAACACACTTACAGCCTGAAAGTCTGTGCTTTAACCTCACAGTCGTTGTGTCATTCGAAATATAAAAAAATTAAAAATCACTTTCTTAATACCTACTGACTTCAACTATCTTTGTATCCATCATCATCAAGAAACTGACAGGGTGACAATATTGAAGGAACTGGATACTAGTCAGGATAAACGCTATAAATTCAGCTCTGTATGCCGTCTGTCCTGATACTTTGTTTTAAGTTTTATTTGAAATAAGTGCAAGTGTCCCTCCTACATAAGAACAACTATTACCCTGTGGTTAATTCGTGTGTTGTAGCTGGCGGAGCAGCTGAGTCCTCTGGACGTGTTCCTGGGTCTGATGGCTGCAGCCGCCCACGACGTGGACCACCCCGGGGTCAACCAGCCCTTTCTCATCAAGACCAGACACCACCTGGCATCCCTCTACCAGGTACACACGGGTGTGCTGACGTTTCTGTCGCTGTGGGGGTCAACATGTGCCGTAGTTTTAGCACTGACTCTGTTTCTAACACATTTTGGATGTCACCTCATCCTCCACAGAACACGTCCGTGCTGGAGAGTCACCACTGGAGATCCACTGTGGGCATGTTACGAGAGTCAGGACTGCTATCCCATCTGCCTGCTGACATGTCGTAAGAACTCCCACATAAAGAGCCTTACAGACAATGGATGTTAGGTTTATTTTTACAGGAACACATTAACCAGTTGTAAAATAAACTTGTCAGTGCTGTGCAGTAGACAAACTATGTAATGTCAGCACTGACTGCAAACATGCACACCCAGAAATTCAAAAAGCTAGCACCTTTACACACCCACACATAACCACACACATCAGCATGTTTGATTTGGTAAATAAGCATGCAGCATTTGGTATCATAATCTCCTTTCATCTAGCAGCCTCCACAGAAAGGTCAGAGGTCAATTATAGAACACCAACGCAGGAGTACTACATTTAGCACATAGCTGTAAAAAGGCAGTATAGCCCGTGATAATTTACTAATAAATACATTCCCAAAAATGAAGCTGTTGCTAGGGTACAGGTTGAATCAAACATTAGCACACATTAGTGTTTTGTTTTTTATTTTGGCTCAGTGGTGCCCCCCTCTACTCTGCAGGCAGGACATGGAACAGCAGCTGGGCTCTCTCATTCTGGCTACAGACATCAGCAGGCAGAATGAGTTCCTGTTGACCTTCAGAGAACATCTGGACAACCAGGACCTGGACCTTCAACTGGCTTCACACAGGCACTTTATACTGCAGGTACGCTGCACACCCACCAGACACTCAAACATTCTAACTTTAACATGCACTTCATGTGTGAATCTCTTTCTCTCTCTGTTTGCCTTCAGATTGCTCTGAAGTGTGCGGACGTCTGTAATCCGTGTCGGGTTTGGGAGCTGAGCAGACAGTGGAGTGAGAGGGTGTGTGAAGAATTCTACAGGCAGGGTGAGCAAAGTGTCCACTCAATTCAAATCAAGATGAAAAATAAAAAGAGGAAAGGTCATTTGTGTCTTGTGAAAAGGACTGCATGTACCACTTTTAAGCCACAGCTTAATGTTTTTTAAATAAATACTTAAATACCCTCAAAATGATTGTTTGTTCCTGCAGAAATTACTCAATTGTATGTTGCAGTTGTTCATTATTAGGACCACATTTCCCACAAACCCCCTAACTTTATGTTAAAAGATGCTAATGCTGTGTTCTCTATAGCCATTACATTTAGGGTTCATTTCCTTGAAAAACAAGGCTTTGGCACTTTGGCAGATGTCAGGCATTATTTAATTTTATTTCTGAACATTTTTATAATAGTCTGCATCAGCATCATCTTTTGTTAAGGCTTCTCTCACATTCATGTGGTTTTCTGAAAGTTGGCTTTTAACCTGACAGGTGACCTGGAGAGAAAGTTTGACTTGGAGATCAGTCCTCTGTGTAACCAGCAGGCGGACTCTGTCCCAGCCATTCAGATAGGTGAGTACACACATGCATACACTAATCAGTTTATACTCTGCCATCATGAATCTAAACCCATGATGTTCCTCCACTGATTTGGAGATGATCCGCCTTTGTTGTGTTTCTCTCAGGGTTCATCTCTTACATCGTGGAACCTCTGTTTGAGGAGTGGCACCGCTTCACCGAGCCCAGCCTGCTCAGCCAGACCATGATGGGTCACCTGCACAAGAACAAGGCCCGCTGGAGCCGCCTACGATATGCACACACACCTTCAGACACGCAAACACACTCCCATGCAGAGGAGCCTGAGCCTGAAGGAGGCGGAGGAGAGGGGGAAGACATCCCTTAATCCTTCTCGTGTTTCCTGAGGCATTTCATCTTCCTTTGCGAACGGAGGAGAGGAGTGTGTATCCACCTCCTTGTTTGTCCTCCTGCATATTTTCTCCCACTGCAGGTTGTTCACAGGCCCCGAAAGTGGGAGCCCTAAATGGGAGATGGCTTGGATTCATGTGAAATGGCTCCCTCTGCTGGAGTGAAGGACTGAAGCCCTGAAGGGACAAAAACAAAGAAGATTCATAGTGGGGCTGATGGATGGATGGATCTTAGTAAATATATGCCAATTTGACAAAAAAGTCATGCCTTTCTCTCTAACCCTGTGATATCTGCTTCAAAGTATCTGAGAAAAGCAGGAACAGAATTAAAAGGTTATGGCTGATGGCAGAAGAGGGATCGATGAAGACAAATATTAATCTGTTTGCACAATGCTGCTGGAACAATAAAGAAATGAAAAAGCCAAAATGATATACAAGTCAGCAGGGCGGTGCTGGAAAAGATTACATAAAATATATGAAATAAAAGAGAAATATATGAATATATCCACTATATTATGCTTTTTAAACTTTTAGACAATACATACTGTATTAAGCTCTTTACACTTTTTTCTCTTTTTGTATAGCTTGCACTTCTATTGGATGCTCTTTCATACAAGTGTCTCACTTGTCTACTTTTCACTGAAGTGCGTTTTTAACTCAAGCACTAAGGTGGTATGTCAAGGTACTATAACTGTACATCGTATTCTGTTTTAATTGTGTAACCTGTAAGACTGACTAAACTGACACATACATCAATGACTGATGCAAAGTGGCTTCATATGGATGTTTTTAGACTGATTTAGCCATTTTTAAAAAAAGTGTTTGTGTTCATGTAATGTTATAAACAGTATAATCTGTACATACTGTGACCTCAGCACTTCACATGCCAAAATCTCAGCAATGTATCAACCTTTCTACTGGGTATGGATATCGGGAAATATAACGTGTACACTGGTGTTACCTTTGTAACAACTTAGTGGGTGAATTTATTTGTCCCGTAACCTCACTTTACAAGCTCATATACAACAAAGCCTTAACAGCAACTTGGTCCGTCCAACACATTTTATAATGGTGTTTTTTCTGGACAAGCTTTCTTACACCTACAGTTTCTGCCTGTTTCTCTTCAGCCATACCAGCAACACAGTCATTGTACTGTAGCAGCTTATTTCCTGTTTCATCTTTCCCCCACTGTCAGGGTCAGATTGGGTCTTAATGCCCTTTCAGCATTGCCAAGGTGCCAATGTACTGTTTTGACACATTAACTCACTGCTCTGTTACCTCTATAAGGCGTTTATTACTTTCTTTGTTGCACTTGCTGCAGCTACTGTGTGCACTGTCTTATGTCATGAACAGACTTGGGCCAATTAGTAATTGCAAATATCTCTAATACTAATATCAAAGAACCTATATCCTGCAGTGAATATCATGGCAATTAAGATGTCTGTTACAAAAAACGTTCATTATTAAAAATAGAATTCATCGTCTTAAATGTTACTTTTATATCTGCAACTGAGTAAAACATATAGAGCTGATAAAACCTAAAACTAAGTATATAAAGTATTTGTAAATACTACTTGGTCCAAGTGTAAGAAGTACTGATAAAAAAAAATAATATTTTTTTTACCACTCTGCTCTAAATATGTATAGAAAAAGTTGTCACATTTAAGATTCGCGTCTGGTATGGTCGAGGCTGTGTACACGGTGCTAACAGAGGCCCAGGCCCCACGTCTTCCCTGACATGTAGAGGAATAACCTTAGCTTTATGATTCTAACAACCCAGCCAACACTGTACACGCAGTATATCCTCCATACATCACAGCTCAATACATATATATATATATAAAATTAATTTCTTTGACAGTTTAAAAAAAAAAAATATATATATAACCCTTTTCTATGGGGTGCCTCTATAATATTTATCTATATTTCTGGTAATTAATAAGAAAATTGTTCATATGTAGCCCTCCATTGGCTTTGCTGAAACTCACACTAAACTCTGTAAGTCTGCTGCTGTAGTGTAGACCGAGTCGAAACAGGAGGCCTCAGGCTGCCTTTAAATACCTCTCAGAATCAGCACTGAAACAGGGTCACTGAGCCATACTGGTTTCACTATTAAGTACAAACATGTCCTGGATGTGTTTAATAAAAATGTGTATGCCAGAGTGATTATTATTCTAGACTCACAATAATTATCATTGTATTAAAACTGTGATGGTAAAAAAGAAACTGGTACAGTAGTTTCCACCATAAGATTAGACACAAAGAACGGACAAAATTCATGCATGTTCAAGAGTAGCCACTGTGTTGAAGCAAGTCACTGAGACTGATGGACCATTTGATAAACTGAACGTGCCGCTGTGGAAAACAAATCTCACCACAAGGTCCATCTAGCAGTGGCTCTGGAGCTTTCCCTCATAATCCCAGTTGTCATGGAGTTGTAGATGTTCACCTTTCCAATTTCTCCAAATACTTTAAGCACTTTGTTGGCTTAAAGGTTTGTTCTAAACCAGCAGTTGGTTTGTTTTCTTCATCAGCAGGTGGAATTTGCCATCTGTGTAGGTGTTTAGATTTCCGTACAGATAAGTTACTAATAGCAGCAGAGAGCTATAGTACATGCCAGCTACCATAAGGACTATTGTCGAAAAGTAATCTTCTGCTTAGTAATTTGAATGAAACCCTTCAAATAAAGCCTATGCTATCTAAAATGAATACTGAGATTAGTAACCCTAACTAACAGTGCACCTGAGTTATTAAAGTTGTTTGCACTATGTTCATCAGTCAATCCAAACAAGTCACACTGAATCTGAATCTCTGTATTTTGGTGTTTGTGTGGGTCATCTGACATCTTGACTGTATATTTCTGTTCTGACAACCAACCTCTGAGCACTGTGAACAATAAAATAAATAGCTAAATTTTCAAGAACATGTTGCAACTGTTTGACCACTAGAGGGCAATAAAACCATTTCAGTAATATAAAATCTACAGGAGACACCATCACTCTTCATGCTAGGGGGCACATTATGGGTGCCTCTCCCTGTTGCTTTGTTTACAATATACATACAATAGTGAACCTGTGAATCAACATGATCTTCTGTGATGTAAGCATGCCTGGGGGCTATTAGCTCATATGTAAACAAAAAAAAACCTAGAGAAGAAATACAGGTTGAAATCAAACAGCACAAAGTTGCGCTTAGTTGTAGTTTGCAGGACAAACAAGGGAGAACATGAAGCTGAATGAGTCACAATGTTGAATCATGAAACTATACCTATTTAAAAAAGAAAAAGGGAGGAATGTCCGACGAAGGGAAATAAATGATAAGAGAATTAATGGGGATTCAGTAGAATAAAGAAATGTGAAACTAGTGCAAATACAGGGTTGAAAAAGGGAAAGCACGTAGAACGAGAGATGGCCTGCTGATAGTGTAGTGAGGAGAGAAGTAGTACAAGCAGCCTGTGTTTCCCTCATTTGCATATCTCTGATTTGCAATGCAAAACGAGGCTTGTAGATTGTGACAGACGCAGAGTCCACTTGTGATTGGTCACCTATTCAAACTCATAACATTGTGCTGTTTGACTTCTCTAAACTTTATCTTATCGGCCTGTTCGATTGCTACAACTCAACGTTTTCCAGTGCTCTGGGCCTTTTTCTTGGTGTAATGCTTAAGGTAGATGAGAGCGTACACGTTCCAAACAAAATAGATAATAGTTGTGTTTTTGAGCACCCAGATCTGTTCATCAGAGCACAAGAATAGCTCTAAAATCTATTCATGCTGATAATTCTGTCTTACCGTCTTTCTGTCTCCCACTCAAACACACACACACACACACACACACACACACACACATACATACACACACACAATTCACCTCAGTCAGTCAGTACTCATCCAGCATGTGTCACTGTAAATATTGACACTGCAAACAGAGCCCCCTCTTTTGCCTCTTAAATGTCATCCGACCACTCCCTCTTTAAAAACATGCACCCCATCAGGTCATCGTGCGGGATAACAATCTCCCTCCAAAATGCAAAGTTGGAAAAGATGGCTTTTTTCTTTTTAACACGTCTCACCAGTATCTGTGTGAGAGTAACACGGATTACACAGAAAAGGTGGAGGTACAGAAAATGTCACGTTAAGTCTGGAGGTGACACCTTACTGGCCTCACTGCTGTGAGATAAAGATTTACGTCTGTGTATAGAAAGTGAAAAATGAAACTTGTGGTGTTCACAAGCTGTGTCTGTCTCACTATGTCTGTCTGGCTACTGCACTGAAAGGGTTAATCTTCTGTTGTTAGTCAGTATCCTTGCTATATTTACTGTATATGCTTCCTTTCTTTGCATTATCTTTCTTTCTTTCTTATGAGAAGGATATCTATCTCTCTATCTTTGTCCTGTGCCACTTACATACAGTACATAATATACTGTATATTCATATAGATCAGATCAGCTATTCTATTTTCAAGTTTAAAAAAAGAGGAACTACTGTACTGTACTGTAGTGTGGGAGTAGGGCACCCGTGTCCTTTTTGCACAGAGAAACAAAGTACTCTTAAAAAAAACTTTTATCAATCTAAGATACATCTGGGTATGAATCGAAAAGTTCCCCCTTGGTTTGCACTGTTGTGACCATACAGCAAAAAGAGCCAAAACAAGAAATACTAAACTTACATGTAGCCTTAAACGTCCAGTATGTAACATTTAGCAGGTTCTATTGGAATATAATGAAATGTAATATAATATTCAATAAAGAATGAACTGTATCCACAGAGGGAGCGGATCCTGTTCTACGGAGGACGTCATGTTTCCACTGCAGCTCTAGATAGGGCCTTTCGCCTTTTTCAGGAGTTTCGAAGCTACCATAGTTTCTCCTACACGCTTGGAAGGCCGAGCTGTATTAAAAGGGTTCTTCTTCACCTCTTATGCGTACAAGCAGTATGTAAATATATATATATTTTTCATTTTGAATTGAACTCAAGGTCACAACGGTTGCTGCGCCACCACCACCTCAGTTAAACCCTGTCTACCACAGTGGGTTGCACTTTATCACTAGTGACACATTTTGTAGCTATAATTGCTTTCTCTATCACAAAGTCACATGGACTTCCTTACTAGCAAGAATGAATAATTCATCTCATGATATTTGAATATCTACTGTTTCAAATTGTCTATATATTCAACACTGTATGTCCAGTGTGCATAGGACAGGGCTAGTTCCGCATACTATGCATCTTTAACTGCACTTTTATTAATTCTATTTGTCGTATGTGTTGTTCTTTTATGCAGTTTTCTTGTTTTCAGGCTCAGAATTTTAAAATGTATAATTGTAGGTAAATATTGGGAAATGTGGGTTTAAGTGGTTAATAACGAAAAGTCAAAAAATGAGTAAGAAAATATGAACGTGAGCTCTGACCTCAAGACAGTGATCATTAAAAGGAAACTACAAACACTCAATACTCAAAAATCGATGATAAAAGTTTTGCATTATGATTTATACACTGACTAAAATTCGTTGTAAACTATATTTTGGCGGGTTTACACTCCACTACATCCCTGCATTTGAGTGTCTCTGAGTGTCTCTGTGCAGCAGGTGGTTTCCAAGCAGCACTCTGTGTTGTGGAATGACTAAAGCGTACACTTAGGGGAAATAAAGGGTTAATTTGTCATGCAGTATTGAGAGCTCTGACACCCACACATCCACAAACAGTGTGCAAACAAATATGTACATGATCAATATCCAGGAGAAAACCTGTTTGCACCTCTGACTTTGTGTATGTAAAGGCCTCTTATCTTACTTTCTTAACCCCTATCTCTCTGCTGACACAACCCGCAGGTACTGTCGAAGCACACCTGCCACATTTCAACCCTAGTCCATGTCTTGTGTGTGTGTGTGTGTGTGAAAGATGGACCGTGAGTACTGTACATCTGAGCACAGTCATCTGTGTTCATATTTTCATTGTGTGAAGATTTGTATGTTTTTGGAGGGTTTAATAGATGCGTGTGCATACAAATTTGCTGGCTGCTTTCAGCAATTTGCATACTGCAAATTAATGTAAGAATGTGTGGGCAGACAAGAAGGCTGTTGGCATACGAAATGTATATGATGCATTTGGGTGTTTTTCAGTGTTTTCTGACCATTTGACACAAGTCTCAGCATCAGATTAATATGCAAGTTGCTTTAGAGGGATCGCACTGAGGACCTGGTTTGATTTTTATGTCCGAACAGAAGGTGCAGCAACCTGCAGTGACTTGTTATCACACACAGTGAGAGTGTTTTTGTAATTTGTCACAAAAAGTGGGTTGTATGGTTTCCTGTCTTTGTTATCTTGATTAAATTTATAACCTGGTAGTGACCTTTGACCTTACCCTACAACCCACTAGGGGTGGGCGAAACCACAAAATTTGGTTTTGATCCAATTCCAAGTAGGGCCAAGATCACTGATATCAATACCAACATTGATACATTTTATTGTTAAAAGCAGCTAATGTACCATCACTTAAGGGAAGGGAATATGATGTATGTAATGTATATTAATGTAATTCTGAATATATTTTAATCACCACAAAATACTTAATCACATGCATGTTTAAAGACAGTTTTTGATAGTGAATAAAGAAATGTTCATTGTGTGAAGGATTACTGCGCACATACTCACAACAGCAGCAGCAGAGATGCAAATACTGCAACTAAGAAGAATGTTCACGTGCCCAGGATGTCATCAAACGTGATGGATCCATTTTTTTTGTATGGATCCTACACTAGTATCAATACTCAAAACAAGACTTTGCATCGCTAGTATCGATACTTCGTAGTATCGATACTTTGGGGATCGATCCGCCCACCCCTACAACCTACAAATTTGTTGCTCTTCCCTTTGTGGGGTTGAACAGACAAACAAACTAGATTGGATTGGATACTCCAATTTTTTATTACTGCAGTATTGAGCTACTCAAAAGAGGGAAATAGAGCTGTCAAAATCATGATGTAAATATGCAGGATAGTAATTCTCATGATGCAACTGAATAGTAAGATCCATTATGATGACATTATCAGAGTTATTTCTTTTTTTTAAACTGTACTTGCTCCACTAAATTAGTAAAGTTCCCTTTTAAAGGCTGTTAGTGAGTCTTTATTATTAAACTGTAAACTGTTTTTCCCTTTTTATTTTTTTCTTGTTGGCTTCAAATTGAAGACCAGAAAGAAAAAGAAAAAGAAAAAGTTAAAATACTTTTTATTATGATTTTTACTGTTATTAATGTCTCAATGTTGCTGGTAACAGGGGCCTGTTTTATTGCATATATTCACATGAAGACAAATGTCCACTGGTTTGTGCAATTCCACTTTATACCCACTGAGGGAAAAGCAGCTTCCTCTAAGTCACGTCTCCACTTGTTATTACAAGTACAGTCCAACCTGCTCGGCCTGTTCCACTGGCTCTGCATCATTAGTCAAATCATATTGTTATCAAAGTCACAATTATATGGGCTCAGTAATATTGTTGCTGCTATAAACAAAGCGTTTAGTTTTGGATTAATCCATGCGTGCCAGTGTTTATTTTGTCTAGATTTGGGGGATCTGTGTGTGATCTGTTTGGGGTTTGCACGGCCAAATTTTATGGTAGGGGTGTTAAAAAAAAACCCATATAATTTCCACCTAGAGAGTTTCAAATTAACCTTGTTTTTTTTGCGATTTGCATTAGAGATTCATGATTCTGTTTTTGCAGAGAGCTGTGTTCACGTTTTCAGCATTGATAGGAATACCCTGAAGAAAACTGTGATATTTCTTATTCTGAGGGATTTTCTCCTGCATGCTAAATTGATCATCTTTGAACTGATGGTAGACGGGCAGCCAGCGCAGACAGCTTAAACAGGAGACTGATATGGAGCCTCTGGAGAAGCCTACAGAATACTTAATTACCCAAAAT